GTTGGCCGGCGACCAAGACCATGTTGGGCAATGATGAACGAGATGATCGCCGGCCACAATGAATTCTTGGGGTGTTAACACGCCGGTTTCCTTGAACTTCGATTCACGCAGCACGGGCGTCAGGTACTGGCTCACTTCCAGCGCCATGCTCTTCACCGAACTAACGATGTTCTCCATCGTCGGCGTCTCCAAGCACCTGAAACACCAAAAAGCTCTTACACAAGCACACCTCACGTGGAAGATTATGCCAACGACATGCAATACGCAAATATCGAAACCAATGGGAGGCAAACATTAGCCGTTATCAATAAGACAGCGCTAGAAAGGAAGATCGAAAAGATGTGATACAACCTTCGGGCAACCACTGCACATCCTGCCCGTAATGAACTTGCTGGTACCACAGTTCAGCGAAAGGGGGAAACTGCTCCGAGCATATCTGATGGACAAGGGAGCTCAACTGCGAGGGAGGGCATCGATCGAGAGGCAAAAGTGCCCCCCCCCCCTCCGGCAGGGAGGAAGTTGTTCACGATGCTATCCACCGCTGCCGTTGACTTCTTCCCAGCATTTTTTCGTTTTTTCCTCAGTCTCGACCTTATCATGCATGCCTGTCTTCTTCGCTTCGATACTTCCAGTTGTTCTGCTGCTTCATCGTCGCGTTCCTTCTTGCCTTGCTCACTTCTTCGCATTTTCCCTGCATTCGCGTAACTCCAATGCATGTCTTTAATTGGTCCCCTCCATTCCACGGGCAATCCTTCCTGTTTTTTTAGCACTGCACCTATAACCATTCAGTTATCCGCTTTGTTAACTTGTCCTCTCTCACACTCCCCACACAATCAGCACGGTTCTCCGTGGCAACACTGTCTTGATAACATCGCTCATGTCAGAAACCGATGGCCTGAAAGGTGCACATCCAGGGAGGAAAATAACTGGCCGTTAAGGCAATGAGGTTGCACAGCTATTTTTACAGGGGAAAGGGGTTTGGGGCTGGGAGTACCGTAGCATGAGGAGAGAAGACACTCAAACAGGGAAAAACAACTCGAACGCTTTAGGGATTGGCGATATTCAAGGAACTAGCATACTTGCCTCTGGTTCCCTTACAAAACACGTTCCTTCGTTTGTCGCAGTTTAGGCATAAGTCGAGCATCGGCGTAGCCCCCTCCCCAGGGACCAGTCACTTTGCCTGCCAATTCAGGCAGTGCTCGCAGGAGGCGTCGGAAGCTGAGCAGGGTTCCATGTGGCTGCCTCTGTTAAAAGTAATTCTGGTCCAGATATTATCATAGAGGCAGACCCTCACCCTCCCCCCTTCTCTC